GTCATTTTTATTATTTTGGTAAGAACAGGGACAGTTTTGTCTTGACAAGCCATTAGATGAATACCAGCATGTGTCACATGAAAAACCACTGATCTTTAACCCAGCTCTGTACTTAACCAAGCCTTGAAAATGAATAGTGAATAAAAGAAGAGCAAAGGCCAGTTTACTGTCATTACAGATTACAGAATCTGTTAACAGCTGCTGAACTGAACCCAGGGAATTACAGGTATTGTTCTGTGAACCAGCAGAAGTCCTAGAGATGCTTGTTATACTGTGTATATAAATTATACATTTATTTGATATTTGCTTAGGATTTACATTGTTGGAAACATAACCAGAAGAAATGAAAATCCTTGACTACTTTCTCAGTGTTCTAACTACATCCCTGCATCACAAAACCATATATATATAGAGAGAGAATTATTTCCAGTGAGGTTGCCCTGCCCCTTGTTATGGAACTTACTTTAAGAAAGCAATGTGTTTTTAAAGAACTTACCAGTAAGTATTAAGAGGAAGAGAAAAAGCATGCAATACCCCCCCACCAACCACCCCACTCCACAAACATACACACAAAACAAAATCCTTTGTTCATTTATTCCTGTAAGTATTCATTGTGGCTGATATTTACACTAACTTGTGATTTTTTTTTTTTTTTAATGGAGGGAAAACTTAAATCTACCTCAATACCAAAATATTGAAAAGATCAGTAACATTTTAAACAGTCAGTTGTGGGAATTATTGCTTACAGAGCTAACAAGAAAGAACACACTTTCTTACTCTGCTGGTGGAATTGCATTGTGCCTCCCTATAGTCTTGTTATCCCATACTAACTGAAATGCAAATTCTTTGCAACTAATTGGATCTCATTGAGGGTACAGGCACAGTATGTAGTTATATGCAAAAAGGTTTTAAAAAATACAATTTCTCTGTAATTACAACTTTTAATTACTATCTAAAACATTGGCATCTATAGTATAGGTTTAGAACATATATATGTGTGTGTATATATATATATATATATATATATGTATCTTTTTACAGATTACTCAAAAACATGAGCTATGAAATGCTTAATAAGGTACCAGCTTGAAAATTAGAGGAAAATGTTTATCTACAACAATCTATAAATTGAATTCTAATAAAGTCCTGTGAAAATAAGGACTTTTGTTTTGAAGTTTAGGATTTAGTGTCTTAGAGCCAGTATACTGAAGTCATGTTAGTAGTGTAATCCTTTTCTTGGAACATTTTAAATCATAAACATCAGAAATCACTTCCCAAAATTATTATCTTTTGTTTTCTTTCTGACAGTTGTCCAGCCTGTTTTAACATTGTAAACTGCGCTGAGTTTCTTACTTTTTCTGAGTGTGTATCTGCTATGTATTGTTGTGAGGTGGAGGTATTCACATTCCCATAATGTCTTTAATAATGTGCTTGCCATTTGGACCTTGTTGGTGTATTCTTAAATTCCACAGTCCATCTCTCACAATCAGTAAATGTGGGAAAGCCAGCACATAGCCTTTAGTATTTGTAGTTCTTTAACCTGAAATACTTGGAATCAGGACAGTACAAAGCGATTACTATGATGCCTACCCCCCACCCCCAGCCTTAAATAACTCTAATCCAAACGATTCCAGACAACTCTTCCATAATCTACAGATTATATAGCCACTGGACAAACTTAGAAGTTCTTTTTGTGCCTTGTAGGTTTATTTTTTGTAACCTGTGCCTTTCTTGCTAGATAGAAAATTAGCCCAAGATCAAAGACTCTACATGCTGGCAGTGAGTGGCAAGTTCAGATCATGTATTTTGGGGACTTCTAGAGGAGTCTAATTTGTAATTTCAAAACTTGATTTAATAATGACTATTCTAGATTTAAAATCCGCAAAGCACACCCTGTGTATATGCTTGAGGTTTTGTTTTAGTTTACTGATTCATTTATTGTTAAGACTTTAGGTTAACCGTTATCTCTTAGAAAGCTTGTTCTCTTCGTACACTAGTCTTACAAACCAGTTAAAATTTTGTTTTGTGCAATCCACTTAGCAAGTGCTGTACTGTATGATAGGTTTGTTGCGAAAAATTTTAAACCTTGGAAAGATATCCTAGTGCCTTTGAGATGTGTGCCTTGGCACTCATACACGGGTCCTAGTTACCTTGCAGACTTATTTCATCTAGAGCAACCTCAAGCCTTGAGATCTCAAAGAGCTCAGTTTGCCTACGCTGGGTAGCATTCTGTCAGAAGACTGCTGGCTGGGCAGACCAGATTTGGATGTATTAGCTAGTCAGCCTAATAACCCTGTACAGACTGTATTGATTTTCTAGGAGAGAGTTTATGAACTAAATAAACTTGGGGTTGGTGTCTTAATAAACTGCTTCTCTCAGTCTGTCACATTTAGTTACGGAGCTGTGCAGTTTAAGGGGGAAAAAAGGCTAATTCTGTTACAGATTGTTCACAGCAGGGTCTCCAAATTAGCCCTTTGTTTTGTAATGCCACCTTGCTTGGGCTCGCTTTGAGCACATTTCTCAGTTTTGCCCTAATGAGTTGCAACACTGATAATGTGGCTGATGATCTTTCATTGATTTCACTATCACTTGCTTGTCTGGTAATTGATCCATTGCTGAGCCTCTAGTTAATTATATCGGCTTTGACATGGCCTGGTCCATGGGGAATTTCAAGTCTTGCAGAATAACAGTTTTAATAAAAGAGTCTATTACTGCAGGTGCTTGCTGCTGCATGCCAGTTGATTTTTGTGTTGTGTGTGTGTGTGTGTGTCTGTGTGTATGGTTGGGGCGGGGTTGGGGGGATGATACCTGGCAAAGAAGAGGACTACCGGACTGAAAGAAAGAAGGGGTGGGGGCTAGAAGAAGAGGAAGAGGGAGTGAAGGAGAGAGGAAGAAAGGAGGGGGAGTATGAGGGGGAGAGCGGGAGAGCAAGAGGCAGGCAAGAGAGAGAACACGCAGGCAAAGCGATACAACAGAGCCTGAGAGGAGCGAGGAGGAAGCTTGCTATTGACAGTGTCCTTAAGCCTCCCACAAATAACAGCCATTAGTGGGAAGGTCAGGAGCTGAGCAGGCAGCTTGACTGAGGCACTGAGTGCCACTTCAGAAATCAAGAGGCTAGCAAATTTTAGAGGGAGTTTAAGTGGGTAATAGCTAGCTGTAAAGGTACAGTCACTGTTGACAATTGACTCATAGGGGCTTTTCCTGCCCTCCCCCTTCAAGAATATTTTTATTGACCACAGGTGGACTTCATATATTTTAAGGCAACAATTCTTTGGGTTCTTGTTTGTTTCTTCTCAGATATTGAATTTGCTGCTTTTGAGACTTTTTTGTGCTTAATGGTGGTGAACCGGAGGGAAGTTTAACAGAAAAGCTTTCAGGAGATGTCGGTTCTAGAGGGGAAGGCACATTTGTGTCAACATAGTGTACGTTTTCTCATCTTTTCTCATTGTCCACTAATGACACAGAGCTGCCATTGAAGCTCTTTTCTGTTTCTTTTGTTGTTTCAGAGAGTAAGGTTTATTGTTATTTTTGAGTTAAGAAGGAGCAAGGAGAGTGGTACATTTGTCCTCAATATTTGTAGGTGGTTGAAGATTAATGTTCCTTACATTTTAAGTTTAGGAAGGATGGCTTTTTCCTGCTGACTACTTTTATGAGATGACATGAATTTAGCTTTCCATTTTGAAGTTACTGTTTATGTACAGTACATTTTGTTCAGTTCTGCTTTTCCATAAATAAGGTTGATAAACACTATCTAATAAATAGATGTTTTGTTTTAAAACTGGTTTAATTAAAAATACAGCATGCTATCCGGGTTATATTTCATCAGGCATGAAAATGTTATAGAATTTTCCATAGAGATCTCAAATGAAAAATGGAATTTTTATATTCATTACTTTTTTCCCTGAAATGGGACAGGCTTTTTTTCTTTCATCTTTTTCTTTTTTATGATTTGAAAGGGTATTGTAGATGCTTCATCCAGGAACTTTAACAAAGGATTTTTTTCTATTTGTGAGCTTTAAGAAAAGGTACACTTTTTCCCTTGCCATTCAGTTTCTTATTACTTAACCTCCAATTTAACAATTAATGACCGGAGGAACTGGATGTTAAATACTATGTATTTATTTTGCAAATGTTTATTGTGTATCTTCTATGTTCAAAAAACTGCTAGGTTTATTTATTTACTTTTCAGAGTGGAAGGTCAAGTTTCTATGTACATTATTTTCTCTAGGAGTTTATATGTGGTTATAAATAGCCCAGCACATACTATATAACTTTTAGGAGCTAACATTTAGCCAACAACTGAGCCAACTTAACATTCTCTTAGAGCTGAATATTTTTCTTTCTTCCAGTGTAATTAGAAAAAAAAAATGTTTAAGCGGAGCAGTTTACAAATGTTAAAGACTGATGTCAGATATTGCATGTTATACCCAAAAGCATTGTTGGGAAGATTTCCCTGGGAAGGGCCTCAGCTTCTCCTCACCCCGTGTGCCGTCTGTGATCACGGTGCTGCTTGGAGTGTGCATAAGTGTGTGTCTATCTGTGTGTTTGGAGAGGGGTTAGTGCAGGGTGTCATTTGGTGCCTGACAGTGGAACAGTGCAGTTGACTCTTAGCTCTGCTATCCAATGACATGCAGTGGCTGAGAGTTTGAAGCTGATGGTTGGGTCTCCGGTGCTGCCTGCACACCTGACAGGCAGCTGTTAAACCGAGCAAAGGCAAGCTCTGGGAGTCACAATCTATGCATAAATGATAGGGGTATCTGTGCAGAAGGTGCGAAAGAAGCTCTGACCCCCTCCCTCCCCCAAATCTCCCCCTTCCCAAATGAAATGCACAGTTCAGCCAGCTTCTTAACTACACTACACTCCTGCTACTGGCTGCCAAGAGGCTCAAAAAATCCACCTTCACTTTTCAGTCAGAAGAGGCAGAAGTGGATGTGAGAGAAAGAGAGACACAGAGAGACAGAGAGCCAAAGAGGGCAAGAGACTTGACTTTAAGAGACTCCTGTACTGACAACTCCATGCAGTTCGGAACCAGAACGACTACAGCTGAACCAGGGTTCATGGGGACATGGCAAAACGCTGATACTAACCTCTTATTCAGAATGTCCCAACAGGTAAGTTTCTTTCTTTCTTTCCTTTTTTTTTTTTTTTAAGAAAACTTGAATTGTTATATAGACTTCTGTTTCTGTTATTTTTCTTTCTAACATTTTAAAAAATTTGGTCACTTCATACTTAGGCTCTGTTTTGTCCTAACTGTGGTGTTGGAATGTGCAGGGTTACTTACTTCATGGTTTCCCTGAGGGCTCCTTAAAAGAAAAAGGGGAAAGGATACTGAAGTAAAAGAAAGCAAAGGCATTCGTTGCGAAGTTTCACAGGATAGCCTGGGTCAGGGGAGGACTTTATTTCTTGGTTTTCTGTTTAAAATTAAAAAGGAAAACAAAAGCCACCGTCCAAAAAAATGTATCGTTCTGTCTGTGCTGATCACTTCGTGGAAGTGTCTGCTATCGCAGAGTAGGTTCTCCAACCTAGCAGCCATAAAACGTAGGGGCCCCTCTGCACAGCCCCGCCGACTCCACGGGGCTGGAAGCAGCTCGACTCCTACCTGCGGAGAGGAGGCCGTGCAGGAATCGCTGCCAGCGCCGAGGATTGCGGCGGCGGCGGCGGCGGCGTGCGTGGCGGGCCGTGCTGGCGGGTCCCAGCTCCTCGGCACCGGCCGCGGCTGCCTGCCCGCCCGGCCGCCCACCCACCTCCGCGCTCGCCCCTGCGCTCCTCGCCGGCGCCGCCTGGGCTCCCGCACATTCGCCGGCCCGCCCGCCCGGCCGCCCGCCTGCTCGCCCGCTGGCCAGCGCACTCACACTCGGGCGCAGCCGCGGCGTCCTTCCCAAAGCCGCTGCTCCGTCCGGGCCGCGCTGCGGGCGGCTGGGTGTGCTGGCTCTGCCGGGAGAGCCGACGTGTTAGTGCGAGGCCGGCAGCAACTGATAATTAATCACGGGAGCCGGCGGCTCGTACCACGCGCTTGGTGATACGCGCCCTGCACGCCGGGCTCCTCTTGCACAATTGCTGGCTCTGCGGCTCCGAGGGGGAGCGAGGGTGAGAGGAAGCGAAGGGAAACAACACAGAAACTTTCATCTTGGACTGTGCTCAAGCGAGGGAGGGAAGTTCCCTGGTGCCTCCCTCCTAGACACGTCTTGCTGTTCAAAAGCTTACACCAAACCCACACAAAGCAAGAGTTAGCGTGATAGTATCATCCACACAGCACGAAAGTATTACTGGCAAATACAGTTGGATTTTAAGTGGATGGTAGTTGTTAAGAAATTGGTGCTGTTCCACTCATTGAAAAAAATATTGCAGTTGCCTTCTTTTTCTAAAACCTGTTTTGCTTGTAAGAGTTCATGAGCATTAAATACTTCATTGAGTTAATTAGATTTTTTAAAGTATTGGTAATGAAAGGAAGAAAACGATTTGGTAGTCTGTAAACTACCAGAAGTTTAGAGGTACGTCTGCAGAAGCCGGTGCACAGAGCCAGGGTTTTGTAGCATTTAGCTAGCGAACAGTTTTATCACGCCGTTCTAGAGAGGATAAATGCATTTGAATAAGGTGTATTTTGACATATCCTGTAGAGGGACCCTGATTACTGCTGATACAGTAAGCTGGGATTTAAATGCAATCAACATAAACCCAATAAGCAACTCTTTATGAGCTATTTCCCATTCTTGGAAGTTAAAAAGTTCATTCCCTCCCAGAGATACTCCTTGTCACTGTAGAGTGCCAATTTGAGAGGTGTGTTTCTGAGGCACATCCCTGCCTGGGTGGCTCTCTCTCCGTGCTGGTAACACAGAGTGTGTTTTCACTCACTGTAGGGCCAAGCAACTTGTGCCGCACTTTAAAAATTGGATGTCACGTTTAGGGTTTTCCTTGAGTTAGGGAAGGTCAGGTGTGTGTGAGTGTGTATGTGTGTATGTGAAGGGAAGATTGCTTTAGGTCTCCCTCTAGCTAGAAAAGAGTTAATAAAACCAGATAGAGATAATGATCAATTGATAAATGGCTATTGAACCACATAGATGGTGTTAGATTGCTTCTTTGGCACTAGCCCATTTCCAAGTAGATTTGAATCTAAGGAGACTTTAAGTCATGGAAAACATTTTAGCTAAAAAACAAATAAAAGTAAATGATATAAATGATTGATCAGAATTAGGAAAATAATTTGAAGTCACTCAGAGAGAAAAACTCGTACAACTAAGCTAATATGATATCTTTGATCCAGTTGTTTGACTTCGTGGATACATAAAGATCTATTTTGTCTCTACCTGTGTGCATGCATGTGTCTTAGAATCAGTCGACTATATGAAAAGAGTAGATATACAAGGAGGTAATTTATGCATAACGGATGCTATATAAAACTACGTAGTATTATGCCAGTTACTAAACAGAGTAGTAAAATCGAGAAAATCACAATTTTAAAACGTGTTGTAATTTAATTGTATATATATATTTTTTAGTTTTTGGTTTTAATGGAGTTAGTCCCTCCCCTCCCCCCTTTTTTTCTGTCGTGGTTACTAAATGTTTACCTCCTGTGCATTTTTGGAAAACATGTAAGGAGTGTATGAGTGTATTTTTTTTTTCTTCTTCAGGATGATATTTTAGTTTGTATAAATATTATGTAAACTTAAATTCAGACTGTGTAAATCTAAAAATATATGTGCTGTACACGTTATTAAAATATGTTTATTTTCTTTACCTACAGTTCATCAGCAATGTTGATTCAGGGAGTGTGTGTGTGTGTGTGTGTGTGTGTGCGCTTGTGCACTCAGGAAACACACTTTTCTTGAAATGATTTTCTTGAAGCCAACAGTTTCAAGGAATACTAGTTTCAATATACACATTGAAGCCAGCTTTTGTTTTGCTACAGGTAAAAGTTTGTCCAGTTTAATCAGATATGCAGAATTCTGTATGAAGAGGTTTTTCTGTGTTATGGTAATTTTAATTTCTAAGAAAAAATTGATTTAACACTTGAAATGAATAGAATTGATTGGATCTATTTTCTTATTTCAAAGTTTTCTATAATAATATAAACACTCTTAAGTTTTACCAGATCATTTCTTTAAATATTAGAAAAGACTGACGAGCAGGTTTCAAACTGAGTTACAGGGAATTAACCACCAGTATTATTTAAGTACAGAAGAAAACTTGTAGAAATATCTCATGAATACTGAAATTTAATAATCTAGATTTGTGTCTTCTACAGGTAAATTAAGCAGTAGGGATATAAAACTCTTTGTCTTTTGTATGAGCAAAGTTGGATCTGCTTATATGTAAGTCTGTCAGTCTGTCTAACACTAACAAAAAGACATCACAAACTGAAGCCAATTTAGATTTGATAGAATTAAGTATGTATCCCTTACATTCAAGATATGATAATTTTACTACATTTTCCTGCCTTTCTACAACTTTCCCATGTTTAAGATTTTTCAAAAAGGGTAGTTTTTTTTCATCAGACAAATATTTGATAACCTTAAGGGGCATGACTCTTGACTTCTGTAAAGGAAGTTCTTTTTTGAGTTACTTTGATCAGTGACAGGTCGAGAATGACCAGAAACCCTTTGCCCATCTTCTGTGTTAATCTCTTAGAGTCTAGAACATTATTTTGCCCATTTTAACCTCATTAAGCATTGTTAAAAGCAGAAAATAAGGCCTGCTTTGGGAAGCTTTTTTTCTTTTTTCTTAATCAGGTTTTAAAAGGTGATTTTTCTATTTTTGCAAATATTTTGTGCATTTGAGAGAATCTTAAATAAAATTCTTTGTAGCTACTTCAAGGGATGCAATAGTCTTATATATTTTGAAATCTTTTCACACATGAAACCGTAACAGGGAAATGGCTTCAGCCCATGTTTTACACATTATTAGAGACATTTACCTTTTATTATTGGTGAGGTATATTTAACCTATTTCAAATAAAATGTAGATCGCTTAATAAGGTCTCTTTTCAGACACAAGTGAAATACTAAGTTAGAATTATAAATGACTCTGTGCATCATTATGTAGTAATTTAGGATTCACCCAATGATGTAACAAAATTAACAACATAATTTCATTGTGAAACTGTGTCTTATTAAAGAACAACTGTCTGACATTCTCTTACAGTTGCTTTATTTAACTTCATGCAAATATTATTAGTAGTGACATTTTTCTATTGTGCATTAGATTCTCTCATTAGCATGATGTGTTAGTTATCACCAGAGAAATCATTTCTTAGGTAGGTGAGGGGCAAACCAAGAAAGCTAAAAATTAAATCAACGATTTACATTAATACTAGAGTGTCTGCTCACCAGAGATATGACAGAGTAAAGCAAACTTTCTTTCTAATATAAAATCTAGCACATTTCAGAGAAATGATAAATAAAATATATTGTAAGAAATATATAATAACATTGCTGGAATCCATTTAAAAGCATGTTTGATATGAATTTTTTTCCCAGTACTCTTTTAGTTCTTTCTATTCATATAGGCAAACACAGTTTCAGTTTGTGGAATCTATATTTTAAAGTGGAAATGGTGGTTTTGTCTGATTTCCTACCTCCCCCCCAAATAATTTAAATGTTTATTCACTAAAGTTTAAAAGGCACATACAGTTTTTCTTTTAAGTCAGATGCCTAATTGTATATTGTGGTTTGATTCTTCTTTATTGTTTGTACATTTTTATTCTAAACTCTATCCCACTCATGTAGACATCCCTTTTAACATGGGATGTATATTCTTATTTAATCAGAGCCCTGAGTAAAGCAGTTGATAGTTAATGGTCTTTGAAAATGACTTTCATTGCCAGGCATCATCCATCCCTAGGTTTCTGCATTTTCCCCTCCCTTTTTACTCCCCTTCTTACAGTTGGTGTGTTTTGGTAATCATGTCTTAAATTGACCAAACTTATGGTCTTAATGTGAAAATATTTATATTAGGAAGCATGTAATTTCAGTCTGTTGAATTACTAGGCTGCTACCTCCAATTTAAGTTCCCTTCTCTAATTTGAATGGTAGTATGTTTTATTTTGAAGTTTAACTATAGATATATATCCAGATGTAATTCTTAACATCCATTGTGATGGTGCAGCACTAAAATA